TCGTGGCCATGATACCAGGTCCGGCACCCCCACGGCGCTCATTATAGTGGATGTTATTCGGGGAAGGTTCGCGAGCGTGAGACGTTCAAAATCACATTCACACGATGTTGCGGGTCAATGACCGTATGCCTTAGTATATCTGCATGAGGCTCCCATCGGCGTTTCCCACCCTCAGGTTGCGGGATGCTGACTGTATCCAGTGCTGCCCGAGGTCCCCGCGGGCACCTCCTGTCGTTTTCACAGCTTCCTGACACCCAGGCTGAATCGCCCGTGTGGGAGTCTTGTTCACTTTTGCTTGCCCCAGTGACTTGGGCGACTCTGATTGAGTCCCGTCGCTGGCAGATGTTTCAACCTTCAGGTCAGTACCCTTGCGGCTGGCCTTTGTCAGGCCAAAACGCCCCCGTCGTCGTATCGGGTGCTCTCGCGCGTGCCGCTCGGGACGCCGCCTCATCTTGTTGGCGCTCGGGCGGGCTGGCGCCGGGGCGGCGATGGGCCGAGATGACGGCGGGGTGGGGGCAGGCGCACGACCGTTGCGGGCGATGAAGCAGGGTGACGACGACGAGGAGGAGGAGCATACGACGAATGGGGAAGATCAGAGGAGGAAGAAGGACCGATGCCGCTGCTCGTCCTGGAGAGCCCTCTTCGCCACTGCTGTCTTCTCCGCTCCTCCTTGGCACTCTGGCCCGAGCGCTCCCCTGGAGATGTCCGTGATGAAACTCACGGGGACGAGCGCGGAGGAAACTCACGAGGAGACGGTGGAGGAGGAGGAGACGACGTGAGAGGTACTGCAGGAGGACGAGGTGGACGGCGGCGGCGGTGGCGATGCGACCTACGACGATGACAAGATGTTCCCGCGCCCGATGAGGCGCTCCGAGTGCACCAGGCCATCGAGGCAGCCCCCGCCTCCGCTGGCCCCCCCAAGGGGATGTCTCCGTCACTGCCGAAGAGGATTTCGCCAAGGTTTCCCTTCATAGAAAGCACATCCAAAGTGGGAGAAATCACTATTCTAGGTCTACGCTCACAAACGTACAGTCTTAATGTGTCAAGAGAGCTGCAACCTCATTGTGACAGGGAACCGTCTTCCATCTGTGCAACTGCTGTAAGATGTTGGGATTATCACAGGGCATGCATTTATAGTATGTCATGAGCGCCAGCTGCATGTTGACCAGCAGCAACCATCCGTCGTTGGAATCGTTTGAGAGGTCTACCTCGATCGCGCGCATCGTTGTGATGGTAGCCACATGTTGGAAACCGCCCAGACTTGCACATGTTGGAACATGTTGGAGACCGCCCCATGCCTCCACATGCTGTGATGACAAGTGTGTGCTGTGATACGAGACCCGCACTTTCAAAAACTACTCGCTCTATATCCGTGTAGTTCCCCAGGCAGACAGCTACGCTGGTTCAGGGCGAACTGTTTGTGACGAGTGTGCGCGGCGCCGAGGCGATCGCCACATTTGGGGAAAGGTTCGGCGACCTCCATACGCTCAGCGGTGAGAAGTTGTTGAAACAACTTTGCGCGGCTTTGGAATGACAGCCGCAGTTCGAGAACGATCTGCCCTGCACCGATGCAGCTGTTGAGAACTCATGTGTCAGGGTCACTGCTTGTGGGGGAGTATCCGGCGACGTACCCAGCTCGTTCTACCGGCACGTCTGTGGGGCGAGGAGGGGTTGATTAGCAGGAGCAAGTGCTAAGGATACTATAGCAGGAGGGAGGGAGGGGGCGAGGGAGTGGAGGATGAGCGGGAGGAGAGGGAGGAGAGGGAGAAGATGAGGAGGCGGAGGAAGGGACCAGGAGGAGGAGGAGAGAAGGAATGAGAAGATGAGGAGTGGGGCAGTGCTAACGCGGAGGAAGCGCATCTGGGTTACTTTATAGCAGTGCGGTCGGTCGAACGTGTTCCATCACATGTCTTCTCCATTCACTGTCCTGTAGGCCCTCGCCACGTAAGCCCGGCCATGCAACGCCAGAAAACCGCCACGCTAATGGAAAGTCGCCCGAGCCAGGCGATGGAATGGCGCTACCTCATCACTACTGGCCTTGGCCAGGGCATCTCGATCGCGCTCCGCAACACGGGCGTGGCAGGCTTCCTTGGCAGCTTGCTGTGCCAAGCTGGCCGAGTCGGCGGGGAGCGGGTGGAGGCAGACAAGGAAGGAGGAGGCGGATGGAAAGAGAAGGACGAGGAGTAAGGAGGAGGAGGAGGAGCAGGAAGAAGTTTGAGAGGGAGGAGGAGCAGGAGGATGAGTAGGAGGAGGAAGAAGTTTGAGAGAGAGGAGGAGGAGGAGCAGGAGGAGGAGGAGGAGGAGGAATACTCAGGGGAGGATGCCTCCCTTCAAAGACGGCCGATAAAGGGGCGGTCCAGGAAAGGCCTCGCATCCCAAGGACTGACAGGCTGGCCTCTCGTCTTCGGCGGAAGGCGGCGAAGGGCTTGCAGAACCAGCACGTGGCCGGCTGCGCTGGCGGAAGCCGTCCCCTCAGGGGAGGGACTGTTCAAAGGCAGTTGTCGAAAGTTGTTTTTTCTGCCTGAGTTCCCCATGGTAGGACTAGCTCCAAGACGTAGATTGTCTCTGGACGGGCCCACCGCAAGACCTCCATCGCGACGATTCTAGCAAGTACCGCTGGGGAAAGGACGGCATGCAGAAACCCACAGAAGGAAACTACGCCACCCAGATACCATGCCAGCATGCTCTGATTTATTGTTTCTGGAGCGGGCCGTGCGGGTGCCGCGCAAGTGATCAAGATCGGCAGCTTGGTGTAACAAAGGACGAATGAGCGCGCGTGTGTCCCCGGAGGCCTCTGGCAGTTTCGCAATCATGCGTGCAGGTTTTCGATACTGGATCCTCGATCCTCCACCTCGGTGCTCCCCTCCCGAGAGCGTGCACGTCTCCCGCGCCTGCTCGTCGCCTGGTGTTGTTTTCCTCGGCTGGGCGCCGCGCGTGGTCTTCTTGTTGTTTGGCTGGCGGGGTGGGGGCGGGCAGCCGTCGCCCAGGACTCGAAGAGCAAAGACGGCATAAGCGTAAACTTTTGGCGCTCCGCGCGGATTTCTTGGATCTACTCTGGGACCCCCGGGGCCAGAAAGTTGCCCTCATCCGGGGTCCTGGTCCTCGTCGTCATTGCTAGGTCTCGGCAAGGTGTGCCGCACTGTGGTGACTCCCACGCGTGCCATGTACCTGAATCGTATCGACAGAGGGCTTTTTCCCCAAGGCTTACAGCAAAGCCGAGCTCGATCGTAATGTTAATGCCCATAAAGGGGCCTCACTCTTCCTGAGGCATCTCTGGACTGCGTCCTGGGACTCCTGACTCCTGACTCCTTCGCCGCCTTCTGGACTGCTGGCGTGCTCGGCTGCAGTGGAGGCTCTGTCTTGTGTTGCACATGCACGCATGCAGATGGTCTGCAGCCAAAGTGCCGTCTAGGCACGGTTCTTGTCTGTCTGGCGGGACAGCGCGAAGACAGCCCAGCGTCGCGCATCGCTTGGCGCGAAGCGCGAAGTTGGGCGACCTGGGTAGCCCATGTGACAGTAGCAGCAGGCGTCCAATATCGCGGCAGTTGGCAGTGTCCTGACCTCGGAGCTCTCGGATGCAGCTCCTCCCAAATATGGCATCACGACGGTCCAAGAGACCCGCCAAGAGGATTCGTAAGAAGCATCCGGGAGCCCAAGATCCTTATGATAAGCCGGCTTTGGTGGGATCTGATATGGATGTCTTCTCATGAATGGGCGAATTGAGGCCCTTCACTGGTTTCCCTTCGCCATCTCGTTGTTTGTGTAGATGAATGGAGAGGTTCATGCATTTGGCAAGTGCGATGTCCTTGGTCACTCAATCAGGAGCTGGGCGGCAGGGACACGCTTGCTGGCCCACTTAGACTGCGCGTGAATGGAATTGCGTGTTGGGTTTGCGAAGGTGAGGCTTGCCAGATCAACTAAGTCCCACGAGTTTGCAGTCGATAAGGCAACTCGTTGCCCTCATGGCACTGCGCCAACAGTCCGAAGGCAGGAATGGGTCCGTCTTGGCTTTCCACGGGGACATCAGTAGGCGAGTTCAGACCAGCCCTAGGTTGTCGTTGCTCGGCCAAGATGCTCTGCCAGTGCTGGACGGACGGGCCTGCTTGGCCATCATATGTGTGCATCGCGCTCGTACGTGACACTCGAAACTAACTCTGTCGCAAAGTATGGGCATCAGCGGGGTACCCCCGATGTTGTAATCCTTGCGCCCGACACACGAGTCGCAGCAAAGCCAGCAATTGCAAGAGTAACAGCAGCACCTGCCAAGAGTTCCACGTCCAGCGACGTCCTTAAGAGAAGCACGAATGCTGACATGGGTTTCACTAGCACCCGTGCTTGTTTGTGTCAACTCTTTGCGGCGGCTCGCTCGTTGTAGCTGTCGTGTTGCAGGCAAGCGCCTGCGCTGAAGGAGTCCTCAGCATTGGACCCACACGGCGCTGCATGCAGCGGTATCAGTCGTCACCGTTGTGGTGGCAATGATCCGTCAATCCTGATTGTTTCCCCCAGTTGGGGATGAACATGTACTTTCGGCGGCGAGCGAGGGGGGAAGTGAGAAGGAGAAGGCCTTCTCAGAAGGCGGCGGGACTTCTCAGAAGCCCCCGCACCGTCTGAGAAGTTTTCGTTGTCTTCGGGAAAGGCATAGAACACTTCTCAGAAGGCCGGGGGACTTCCAAGGCTTCTGAAAAGGCTCGCCCCTTCTCTTTTCCCTCCCTCGCTCGCCGCCGATAATTGAGATCATGGTGAATGTGGTCGCAGTCGGGTCGGTTGTGGCCGCTGCCGACCCAGCCGACTAGACGTCAAGGGTGTCCTCAAACAACATATTAGTCATGTTGCTGGTGATCCTGTCAGTCGCTTGCGATCCCATGGTCCGGCACGGCGCATCGGTTGCACACGAACCGATGTTTCTACTACGTGTTCCCACGCAGGGTGAGAGACCTCTCCTTCTCCTCACCCCAGCACTCCCACTCTCACCCTCGACCTGCCATCCGCCACCATTTTCGGCCACACGTCGAGCAGAACCTCTGGCTCAGGCGGTGCCCCGTCCCGTCGCCACTCCTCCTCCATGGCGGCCGCCGAGGCCGGAGCCGACGGCGTGGCTGCGCACGCCAAGCTCGTGCTCGTCGCGCTCTTGGGCGCCGGCCAGTTTGCCCAGAAGTCGCAGGCCCCGGCGCTGCTGAAGCTGAGCTCTCCGCGGGCGCCCGGGGGCGCGAAGGAGGCGGGGGTGGTGGGCAGAGCGAAGAGGCGGGGCGGCCGTCGCAGAAGCCGAGGGGGGGCCTCCGAGAAGGAGCGGCCCCTGCGCTGTTCTGATTTTTTCGAAGAGGCCCCAGAAGGCAGTGGGGACCTCTGCCTGAGAGCCAGGGTGCATGCCCAGAGGGCCGCCCCCCCGTCACACCCCGCCCCATGCCGGAGTCCGCTCAGGACGGGTCCCCGCCGGTGCGTCCTCCTTGGCAGGCCGCGGCCCGAGTTGCCTCCTGCCGCGGCGACGAGGGCCTCGAGGGGCGCCTGCACACTTCCAGAACGGCGATGCCGACGTCGTCGCCGTCGTCGTCCCTTTCTGCGCGCCGCCGAGGTGCGCATAGCCGCAGTCTACAGCCGCTCAGAGGACCGCGCGCGCCAGCTGGCCGGCTGGGTGGCCGAGCAGCCCGCCGAGGGCGGCAGCTGCCGCGAGGGCGACCCGCAGGGTGCGCCAGTCCCAGACGTGTACTGGGACGAAGGCGGGCCCGACAGGAATCGAAGAGGAGCAAAAAGCTGCACAAGCATGCACTTGAGGAGCTCCACGCGGATTTCTTGCAGAACGGCGCTGCAGCCCCCCCCTGGCGGTGCCCCTGGAGCCGCGCCTGCGCCAGGCAGGGGGGTCCAACGCTGACCCAAGAAGTCCGCAGGGAACCCCACAAGCTTCTGCTTATCTGTAAGTCGGACGTGTTCGTCTACAGGTGGAATATTCAAGAATAGTTCAAAATAGTCTGGTGACGGTTTTTCGTGCTCTTTTGTTTTCTTGCTTATTTGTTTGACAGCTCTTCATTTGTCTTCCAAGATCCGCCTGTAGGATGACACGCCCAACCTAAGCTTGTATGCCGTGGATCTTCCTTCGAAGGAGCCTGGACGCACTGCTCGCCCGCCCGGACGTGCAGGCATGCGTCATGTCGGGGGCTGCCAAAGGTGCCCCTGGCCCACCGTGCCCCCAGCGTGTCGCTCCATCTCGGAGCCCCATGGGGCCCTCTGGGCCTCGTGAAGGGGTGCTCTGGAAGCCGTGGGGGCCTCCTTGGGAATCCTGCATCCCTCTGTGAAACTTAACTCTAGTTTTTCCCACGCCGCGTCGGCGCCTCCAGACCCCCATATTTCAATGTTGATGCCGAAACGCATGACTTGAAATGTTCCGTCGGCGTCCGTGGACCGCGCCGGGTGCGCAACTGAGCATTGAAGTTGGGGGCGCGGGGGGGATGTGGAAACTGGTGTTTACGTTTCGGGAATGGTTGCGGGGGCACCTTGGGCCAGGGGCACTTCTAGCAACACCCGGTCGTGTCCCTGCCCATCTGCGTGCAGCCCCAGGCCGTGCTGCGCTGCCTTCGCGCCGGCAAGGCCGTCCTCAGCGCTCGGTAGCAAATCACGGGAGCCTGGCGTACCCTGTTAATTCCGTCTTTAGCGTCGACGGGCGTCGATTAGCGTCTGGGAGTCGATGATGGCGCCGATTCAGCGTCGGTTAGCGTCGGTTTCTCGTCGATTAGCGCGTCGACTAGCGTCGATTAGCGTCGATTCGCAAGACCCGGCAAGATGGTACGAGAGGCTCACATGAGTTGCCACCGAACTTGGCGAGAAGCCCATCGCGGGGTCGCTGGCCGAGGCCCGCGAGCTCGTGGCCGGCTACGCGGCGCTCGGCTCGGGGCGGCCGCTGTGGGGCGTTGCGGAGAATTACCGGCTGGAGCCGGGGATGGTGCTGGGAGCGAAGAGAAGCAGTGGAGAAAGAGGTCACGAAAATGATACTCGACTAAACGTAAGAGTGTCCCTTCGCCGGAGCGACCTCTGGTGCGGGCGCATTGGGGCCCCCCGATCGCCGAACGCGACGCGATGGTAGCGTCTTGCGCGCTTGGGTTTGATCCCCCCGCGGCCCCCACAAAAGCCGCGCACCAAAGGTCACTTTTACCCAGGGTCATTATTGCGTGTAGCCGAGATACGTTCCAAGATTTCCAGTGCTGCCCAGAGTCCCGAGTGCTCCACACGGGCTGCAGACACGAGGACCGCTACAGATATTCTGAAAGCCCTGAACTGCATCCTTGGCCAATCCCAGCATGACATGAATCCTCGTCCTAAACATCAGCATCAGTTTTCGGAACTCTCCGTGGATCTCTTGGTTCGGCGCTGGACCCCCCTGGCTGTGCCTCTGAAGCCACCCCATGGGCGCTCCGCGCGCGTCAAGGAAGGAGGTCCAACACCGACCCAAGAAATCCATGCGGCCACGGTCACCACTGCCTCGGTCGGCCGTCCCGGCCCGCTCGACGCGGAACTCTTCCACGTCTGAGTGCTCTTCCTTCCCCCTCCTTCCGCGCGGCCGCCCTCGTCCTTTTCCCTTTCTTGCTTGCCGGCCAATGAGTTGGCCATTCGGTTGCCCCGAATGGCCACACGCTGGAGCGGACTGCCTCTGCCTCGCCGCTGGCGACAAAGAGCTGGTGTTTGTTCCTCTGTAGGTGCGGCTGGCGCAGGCCTGCCGTGAGCTCGGTGCCGTGCACTCGCTGCGCTTCACCGCCCACCAGGTGGTGGCGCCCTGGAACGACACGCCCTGGCGGCTGGCGCCGGAGTACGACGGCGGCTACCTGCTGGACGCCGGGGTGCACTTCGTGGCCGCCATGCGCCTCGTGCTCGGCGACGTCGACCTCAGCACGGTGCGGGCGACGGTGCAGAGACGGCGCGAGGTGCTCCGAGAAGGAACATCGGAGAAGAAAACACGCCATAATCATAAACTTTTGGCGCTCCGCGTGGCTTTCTTGGATCCGCGTTGAGCCCTCTAGGGCGCTCCGCGCGCCAGGGAGGGGGGTCCAGCGCAGATCCAAGAAATCCGCGCGGAGCGCCAAAAGTTGATGTTTATGGCGCTTCCTCCTTTAGAAAAGGTGCTGATACCGCTACCCTGGCTTCGTTTTCGCCTTTCTGGGCATCCGGCGAGGCCCTCGTCGCCCCGGGTGGAGTCGCCTCAAAAGCCTGGTCTACACAAGCCCCAGGAGAGGTCAATGGAGTAGCGGCGTCGCGGCGTCAGTACCTTTTGCTCCACCAGGTGCTGGCGGGCCCAGACCAGTTCGCGGCCTCCTTCGCCTTCCGCTCCGGGGCGCTCGGGATGCTGGAGGCCATTTGGTAGGGCCTCGCGTTGCGCGCGGACGCCTCAACAGGCCCCCCTCGTAGTCTTGGGAGGTCTCAGAACCCTGGCGCCGCCTGGGTGTCGAGACCGCCTTTGGCCACTCGGGGGGCCTGTTGAGGCCAGCCGGGACTTCCCGGGGGGGGCTGTCCGTGCGCAGCCCGAGGCCCCACCGAGGTCATCTACGCCGCCCCGAGGATGCGCGTGGAGGTCGAGGCCCTCGGGGACAGCGGCTGGCTGCTGCTCGCCCGAACCAGCAGGGGCGGCGCCCACGGGTACGAGCTGACCGGCGGCTCGGGCGGCGAGCCGCGGCCGGCCGAGTTCTTCCCCTTCGGCGGCGTGCCCCGGGCGCTCAGTGGCTTCCTGCTCGCGGCCGTGGGCCACGGCGAGCCGCGGGCGGAGCTGCAGCCAGAGGAGGCGCTGGCAGACGTGGAGCTCGTGGACGCCGTCCTGAGGGCGGCGGGCTGGCCCGACCGAGGCCGCGGCTGCGGTGGCGGCGGCAAGCTCTGACCCCCAACGGGGCGAAGGCGCTCCCGCCCCTGGGCCTTCTGCTCCGAGCCCCTGCCGCGGCCTCGGGGTCGCCGGGTCTGGCCGCGCTCCTGGCCGCGACGCGCAGCTGGCCGCCGACGCCCGCCCTCGGCCACGATTGGGTTCCATCGGCTTCAAGTCAAGCGAAGCTTAGCCTGCGAAGATCAAGGGACAGTGCTTGGGGGGATACAGTGGGCGCGTCAGAGATGGAATCGGCATGTCAGTCAGTGCCCTACGGAAATGTCTCGTCCCCCGGAGGGCCCCAGGAGCCCACAAGGAGCTCTGGGCCGCCTTCGGACCCTCAAAGATCGACGAAAAATGTGCCCCAATATTTCTCAAGATCAGCAGCATTTCTTATCGTAGATGCCCACTGTACCAGAGAGCCAGAGGCAAGCATCATTCATGGGCCATCTGATTCGTGGGCGCGAGCAGAGGGAGGGAGGGCAGGCGGCATCACGTCGCAGCTGTTCGCGCTTGCGTTCCTGGCGCAGGCGCCCACGCGCAGCGACGCGAGCGGCCTCGAACGTCAATGCTTTTCTCCGGCGCCGGCTTGTCTTCAGGTTCGGTGTCTTTCTTACATGTCCATTGGGCTTGCCAGAAGTGACTACACAGACCCTGGCGGAGATCCCCGCGGAGTGTTTCGGGTCGGCGCCGACCCCCACGGCGGCACCTTCGGCGCCGCCCCTTGGCGCAGTTCCCGTGCCATGGGAAGGCCCTTCCCGTGGCGCGTCCTGTGGTCTTTGAGCTCGCGCCCCATTTATTTATTCTTTTTTCAGAAGAAGGTGGTCAAGCAGTGGCGAGGCGTCCTGGCCACCCAGAGAGTGCTCTCAGAACCTTTGGTGGTTCGCACGACATGTTCTTAGAACATTTCTGGCTGGGGCTGTCTTGCTTCCACACATCGGCTCTTTGCTGTAAGAACATAATGCTTGTAATGAACACATGTGTGGGTTCTAAGACATTCCGCGGTAGGCATATAGGAATGCCAGGACGGTCGGACCCTGCTCAAGACGGACTCCCCCTGGGTTATCGGTGCACTTTGCGGTCGTACAGTTTACATCTGATTCTACCCCATCCGTCATGTTCCACACGAATTTGCACCATCCTGGGCAGCTTGTTATCGGCCCCTCCCATCCCAGTCGACTGATACGATGCGCACGCACTCGATTATCTCGGAAGATCTCAAATTGAGCTGCCGCGCGATTTCGCCGCCGCGCCTGGGCGGGCGGGGGGGGGCGTGCCTTGGGAGGGGGGGGGGATCGGGGAGGGTCCAGGGAACCCCCTTTGCCACAGGCTTTGTGTTTGGAGCCGTCTTCTGCTTGGAAGGCCAGCAGCGCAGGAAGTCGACCAACGAAACGAACGCATGTTGGGCTGATGCGTCGGGGAGGTTTGATCTTCGTCTCGTAAAAAGGGAACGGGCCCGACGCACACCAACCGCTGCAAGCGCGACGGCATATGGTGTTCAAGAAGTGCACGCGCGCACATGCCGAAAGCATATCAAGCACACGCTTTCTGGAGGCATTTCAACATAAGAGCAGAACAGGCTCAAGGACGTTCGCAACACATCTCGCAGATTCTCTGCTCGCGTGCGCTGGCTGAGCCCAGGGGGAAGCAATGCTCGTAATTGATCGATGACTTCCAGAACCCGCATTCTCATCTTACCACGCGGTTCGTCTGCGTTGATCCAGTATACGCCCAGTGCGCGAGTCGGTACCGCATGGTACCATGAGGGCCACACGCGCGCGCGCTCCCACACGGGCGTGTTGCCGACACGTTTCAAGACATAGCCTTGCCAGCTCTCGTTCTGCAAGGTGGGCTGCACCCCATAATTAGCTCGCCCCCTCGGGACCACTCCCATCGATGCTTGCACTCGCACGGTTCTGGACGCCCAGTCGACCATGAATCATTGCACGTGTAGGTCTGCGGATGTGGAGAGTCAGGTTTCTGTTTGCTGAGCCTGCCACTAGGGTGAGGGTGTGGAGCCCAGCCATCGCAAGGGGGTCTGGGGCTGACCGAAGACATCCCCGCTGATTTGCTACAGTTTGCGGTTTTGTAGTCGATTCAAGGACTTCGCCTTAGAGGAATCGAGGGGGGCGACCTCGCGAAGGCTGGCGCAAGGCGGCCGGACTTTTGCGAAAACAAGTGTGGACATCCCTAAGAGAGGGGGCAACCGAAGGGCTTAGGTTCTCGGGGGTTGTCTGGGCCGCAGAGTTTCTCCAGTTGTGCAAGGTGCTAATGTCAGCACAGCTGTCCCCGGCCGAATGCGAGGCCCAGCCCCGCCCTCGAGCATGTCGGATTACCTTTTCCAATTGGTGCATCTTCATTCGGAGGTGGTGCATCTTGTGATCTCCTTTGCCCGTGTATTGTGATTTCGTCCACACGTCCCTGGTCATCCTGCGAGCGGGCCTCATGGTAGCTCGAACAAGTGCGGTATCGTATATGATGGCCGCCGCTGTGCGCATGTGCTCTTCCGGGTTCGCGCGGCGGCGGAAATATTCGGATTTGTGTTGGAAAGTTTGCTCGACGGAGTAGGCTGTCGTTTTGGGGACGAACATGAGAAGCACATTCCGTTTGGTAGAAAAGCTGCATTCGTTTCCCCAGCAGTGCTTGCACTTAGGGGTTCTTGCTTGGCCTCCTCAACCAAATCGTTGGACGGGGCCGACGAGGACTCTCCTCGTTCCCGCCCGAGGGCCCTCGTGGGCGCCTCGTGCGTGGAGTGAGGCCCGCCGTTCTTTCGCCCGGTGCCCGCCACCTCGGCACCCGGTGGGGGGGCTCGAGGGCGCCCCGTGCCCCGGGGGCGATCCGCCGCGGCTCCGCCCGGTGCCCGCCCGCGGGCTTCCCTCTCGTGGGCGCCCCGCGCCTGCGGTGTGCGCCCGCCGAGGGGTCGCCTCTCGTGGTGCCCGCCGCGCGGGCGCCTCTCGTGGGCGCCCCGCGCCCCACGGAGGTATCCCCACGGAGGTGTCCTGTGGGGACCGACTGTCGGGGGCGGAAAAGAGGGGGGGTGATGACTAGGGGGGTGTGGATATCATGGCGGGGGCCATGATATCTCCCCAGATCTCGTGGCGCCTCTGCTTATGTCCTTACGTCCCTGGCCCCCCCGCTGGGCCGCGCACATGCCGCCGGTCATGATTTGCACCCCCCCCTCTTGGACACCCCCTTCTTGGCCGCTCCCGAGACTGCGCTGCTGCGCACTGGCCGTGATTTGTTTCTTTGTTTGGTTCGGCTCGCGAGGGGGTTCGATTTAATAGTACGAGTGCCACACGCATGTTGCCTTCACATCGACAGTGCAGCCGCTGCCGTGTTCCACGCGACATGTCCCCTATATGCAAGCAGATCGAGGATGTGGAAAGCGACGTCTTGCAACACGTCGCGTTGACGGACGAGCATGCGCTGTGCGAGTACAAGTTTGCATCGTTAGGGATGAGGCGTGGCATGTCTAGATTAGGACTGCTGTTTCAGTTCTCGATCGGTCAGGGCCCCCGTGCTCTCTCCTCGCTGTTTCATTATGTTTCTGGCCTTCTTGAGATACAGGCATCATCAGCAACCGGCGTGACCCGATCGAGCAAGGGCACCATCCTCTGCTCCAGAGATCGGTTTCGGGCATGGTCTCTGTTTACAACCATTTCCCGCGGCAGTTCATCAACTGCCTGTTGCGAAATTGTTTGAGAGAGCTTTGCAGTTCTGGGCCAAAAAAATTACACACACACACACACTCACGATCCAACGTGGCATTTTCTTTGCCCCGCGCCTGGCCGCTTCCGCTGACCGTATAAAAGCTTGCTCGTAGAAACAAATGGGTAACATAACTTGTACAACATTGCTCACATTGCACAGCTTACACCGCACATCCTGCACAACACGTATACACAGCATAGCGCAGAATTTCAACCTCGACAGCTCACTAGAACGCGGCGACAAGGGCAGAGATTTGTTTGAAGTCGGCTTTGGAGGGGGGCAACGACGCAATCGGGGAGCGAACGGCATCGAACCTTTCACGCGTGCGCTCGGCCAGCAATGAATGAATGCGCGGTCTGTGTGGCGCCAACGCAGGCAAGCTCCACGCGAGGGCGCGGACCGAGACGTACTTATCCACACGAGTTCCGCATTGATTTAATGTGCGGCGGGGCCTCTCATCTCATTGGTAATGATTTATGTTGTTGTATTCGCTGCTGTGAAAACTTGTTCCTCACTACGAGACCATATTTCCGCTGTCCATACAACCTAGAGTGGCATGACACTTGTCCGGAGTCGATGCTGGGCGACGGCGGTCGGAGCTGAGTGTGCGGAGCCCATCCGTTTGGAAGGCCGCTGGCTATTCCCTTGGTGAGTTTGATCCTGGGACGCGTCGGAACAGAAAACAGCTGCATCAATATCCAGGGCCGGATCTTCCCGCGCATGTCTTAGGTCTGGCCTTGCCCACCCCCACCCTGCGCCAGGGAGGGGGGCCCAGAGCCGATCCAAGAAGCTCGCGCGCATCTCCGAACGGTCATAGTTTATGCCGGGTCTTGTTTTTGTTCCTCTAGTAATATACAGTGGAGACCCATGCCAAGAAACATACTGCTGGCCTCCATGGTGCCCCCGGTTTCTTGGGTTTCGATGGTTTTGCGATGGACAGCGTGCCGTTCCCACACCAAAAATCAGTGGACGTCCTAGGGTCTCAGGGTTGGGTTTCTTGTGGAAGGTTTCTTGTGGACTGGCCTCTACTGTAATTGCCCCGGCGGCTCCCAGATGCTAGTTTGTAGCTCTGCTCAGGTCTAGGAACACATGCGTGCAGAGCCCTATGTGTGAAGAGCCCGAGGTGCAGCCTGGGCGTAGCGGTCCAAGCCAAGGTGTTCCAAGCCACAGGGATCCAAGCACTTGGTACTTGCTTGAGCAGTCAGGCTCGCAGCTTGAAGGCTCCATGGCCACAGGGATCCAAACGGCCAGGTGGAAACGGTGGGACACAAAGGTGAAGCAGATGCTGGAGAGAAGCTATCGGGGCCCGAGCCGTAGGAGGGTCCAAGCAACAAGCGGAAACAGTGTGGCGGTCATGGCACAGAGCATGTGCATTTAGTAAGAAAACATCATGTCAGCAAGTGCCCACGGAAATGTCTTATCTCACGATGGCCCCGGGGACATACATAACCACTCTGGCATCTCAGAAACTCAGGAAGTTCACATCTCGACGAATCAACTATAACAGAATTTCGTGTCGTATGTGTTTACTGTAGGGTCTAAGGCCATGGGTCGATCCAAGCCATCTGGGCTCCGAGTAGCAGCCGCCAGAAAAAGTGCGACACCCAGCGCCAGTGGGGTGTGTGGCCTTGTGGTCCAAGCC